AGATAGAGCTGACTTTAACATGATGAGATAGAAGCTCACTTTATGTAGAGATAGATCTGACTTTAACATGTAGATAGATCTGACTTTAACATGATGAGATAGAGCTGACTTTAACATGTAGAGATAGAGCTGACTTTAACATGATGAGATAGAGCTGACTTTAACATGTAGAGATAGATCTGACTTTAACATGATGAGATAGATCTGACTTTAACATGTTGAGATAGATCTGACTTTAACATGTTGAGATAGAGCTGACTTTAACATGTTGAGATAGATCTGACTTTAACATGTTGAGATAGATCTGACTTTAACATGATGAGATAGATCTGACTTTAACATGTTGAGATAGATCTGACTTTAACATGTTGAGATAGAGCTGACTTTAACATGTTGAGATAGAGCTGACTTTAACATGTTGAGATAGAGCTGACTTTAACATGTTGAGATAGAGCTGACTTTAACATGTTGAGATAGATCTGACTTTAACATGTAGAGATAGAGCTGACTTTAACATGTTGAGATAGAGCTGACTTTAACATGTTGAGATAGATCTGACTTTAACATGTTGAGATAGAGCTGACTTTAACATGTAGAGATAGAGCTGACTTTAACATGATGAGATAGAGCTGACTTTAACATGTAGAGATAGAGCTGACTTTAACATGTAGAGATAGATCTGACTTTAACATGTAGAGATAGAGCTGACTTTAACATGTTGAGATAGAGCTGACTTTAACATGATGAGATAGAGCTGACTTTAACATGTTGAGATAGATCTGACTTTAACATGTTGAGATAGAGCTGACTTTAACATGATGAGATAGAGCTGACTTTAACATGATGAGATAGAGCTGACTTTAACATGATGAGATAGAGCTGACTTTAACATGTTGAGATAGAGCTGACTTTAACATGATGAGATAGAGCTGACTTTAACATGATGAGATAGAGCTGACTTTAACATGATGAGATAGAGCTGACTTTAACATGTTGAGATAGAGCTGACTTTAACATGATGATAAGAGCTGACTTAACATGATGAGATAGAGCTGACTTTAACATGTTGAGATAGAGCTGACTTTAACATGTTGAGTAGAGCTGACTTTAACATGTGAGATAGAGCTGACTTTAACATGATGAGATAGAGCTGACTTTAACATGATGAGATAGAGCTGACTTTAAATGATGAGATAGAGCTGACTTTAACATGATGAGATATAGCTGACTTTAACATGAGATAGAGCTTGACTTTAACATGTTGAGATAGAGCTGACTTTAACATGATGAGATAGAGCTGACTTTAACATGATGAGATAGAGCTGACTTTAACATGTTGAGATAGAGCTGACTTTAACATGTTGAGATAGAGCTGACTTTAACATGTTGAGATAGAGCTGACTTTAACATGTTGAGATAGAGCTGACTTTTACATGTTGAGATAGAGCTGACTTTAACATGATGAGATAGAGCTGACTTTAACATGTTGAGATAGAGCTGACTTTAACATGATGAGATAGAGCTGACTTTAACATGATGAGATAGAGCTGACTTTAACATGTAGAGATAGATCTGACTTTAACATGATGAGATAGAGCTGACTTTAACATGTAGAGATAGAGCTGACTTTAACATGTTGAGATAGAGCTGACTTTAACATGTTGAGATAGAGCTGACTTTAACATGTTGAGATAGAGCTGACTTTAACATGATGAGATAGAGCTGACTTTAACATGATGAGATAGAGCTGACTTTAACATGTAGAGATAGAGCTGACTTTAACATGTAGAGATAGAGCTGACTTTAACATGATGAGATAGAGCTGACTTTAACATGATGAGATAGAGCTGACTTTAACATGTTGAGATAGAGCTGACTTTAACATGTTGAGATAGAGCTGACTTTAACATGTTGAGATAGAGCTGACTTTAACATGTTGAGATAGAGCTGACTTTAACATGATGAGATAGAGCTGACTTTAACATGATGAGATAGAGCTGACTTTAACATGATGAGATAGAGCTGACTTTAACATGATGAGATAGAGCTGACTTTAACATGATGAGATAGAGCTGACTTTAACATGATGAGATAGATCTGACTTTAACATGATGAGATAGAGCTGACTTTAACATGATGAGATAGAGCTGACTTTAACATGATGAGATAGAGCTGACTTTAACATGATGAGATAGAGCTGACTTTAACATGATGAGATAGATCTGACTTTAACATGTAGAGATAGAGCTGACTTTAACATGATGAGATAGAGCTGACTTTAACATGTTGAGATAGAGCTGACTTTAACATGATGAGATAGAGCTGACTTTAACATGTAGAGATAGATCTGACTTTAACATGTAGAGATAGAGCTGACTTTAACATGTAGAGATAGATCTGACTTTAACATGTAGAGATAGAGCTGACTTTAACATGATGAGATAGAGCTGACTTTAACATGATGAGATAGAGCTGACTTTAACATGATGAGATAGAGCTGACTTTAACATGTAGAGATAGAGCTGACTTTAACATGATGAGATAGAGCTGACTTTAACATGATGAGATAGAGCTGACTTTAACATGTTGAGATAGAGCTGACTTTAACATGATGAGATAGAGCTGACTTTAACATGATGAGATAGAGCTGACTTTAACATGAGAGATAGAGCTGACTTTAACATGATGAGATAGAGCTGACTTTAACATGTAGAGATAGAGCTGACTTTAACATGTAGAGATAGAGCTGACTTTTACATGATGAGATAGAGCTGACTTTAACATGATGAGATAGAGCTGACTTTAACATGATGAGATAGAGCTGACTTTAACATGATGAGATAGAGCTGACTTTAACATGATGAGATAGAGCTGACTTTAACATGTTGAGATAGAGCTGACTTTAACATGTTGAGATAGAGCTGACTTTAACATGTTGAGATAGAGCTGACTTTAACATGTTGAGATAGAGCTGACTTTAACGCGTTGTGTTGCAGCGCTGAGCTCGGAGCAGCAGAAGGAGACGGACAGGAGGAGGAGGCGGGAGCTGTACAAGGAGAAGAGGTTTTTCTGTGAGTTGTGTAACAAAGGCTTCCACCAGCAGCATCAGCTGAAGAAACATGCTTCCTGCCACCTGAAGCCGTTCCCTTGCAGCTCCTGCGATAAAGGCTTCTATAAAGCCCGCAGTCTGCAGAAACACGAGCAGAGCCACAAGCTGCAGGCGGCGCAGGAGAGCGACCCAGAGAAGCTGCTGCGCTGCGACGCCTGCAGCAGGACCTTCCGGCTGCAGAGGCAGCTGCGCGCTCACCAGGCTGCGCAGCACCGAGAGCAGCAGCTGCACTGCAGCATCTGCCCGCGCAGCTTCACCTCAGCCGCAGCGCTGCGATACCACCAGGTGTCGCACGCCGCCGTCAAGCCCTTCATGTGCGACGTCTGTGGAAAAGGCTTCACCAGGAAGAAGAGTCTGCGCGAGCATCAGACGGTGCACAGCGGCGCGCGACCCTACCCCTGCGCTGCCTGCGGGAAGAGCTTCTCCACCGCCAGCAACCTGCGCGTCCACAAGAGGTCGCATTCAGACGAGCGGCCGCACAAGTGCCTCCAGTGCGACAAAGCCTTCAAGAGCAGGATGGGCCTGCTGCAGCACCGCCTGGTTCACTCCGGGGAGAAACCATTCACCTGTCCCACCTGCGGACTCAGCTTCGGACTCAAGTACAACTTCCAGAGACACGTGCGGCTGCACAACGGGGAGAAACCCTTCAGGTATACTACTTCATGTCTGTCTCCTGACTTCCTGTCTGTCTCTTCCTGTCTGTCTATTCCTGTCTGTCTCCTGACTACCTGTCCGTCTCTACCTGTCTGTCTCCTGACTACCTGTCTGTCTCCTGACTACCTGTCTATCTCCTGACTACCTGTCTGTCTCTACCTGTCTGTCTCCTGACTACCTGTCTGTCTCTACCTGTCTGTCTCCTGACTACCTGTCTGTCTCTACCTGTCCGTCTCCTGACTACCTGTCTGTCTCTACCTGTCCGTCTCCTGACTACCTGTCTGTCTCCTGACTACCTGTCTGTCTCTACCTGTCTGTCTCCTGACTACCTGTCTGTCTCTACCTGTCTGTCTCCTGACTACCTGTCTGTCTCTACCTGTCCGTCTCCTGACTACCTGTCTGTCTCTACCTGTCCGTCTCCTGACTACCTGTCTGTCTCTACCTGTCTGTCTCTACCTGTCCGTCTCCTGACTACCTGTCTGTCTCTACCTGTCCGTCTCCTGACTACCTGTCTGTCTCTACCTGTCTGTCTCTACCTGTCCGTCTCCTGACTACCTGTCTGTCTCTACCTGTCCGTCTCCTGACTACCTGTCTGTCTCTACCTGTCTGTCTCTACCTGTCTGTCTCCTGACTACCTGTCTGTCTCTACCTGTCCGTCTCCTGACTACCTGTCCGTCTCTACCTGTCCGTCTCCTGACTACCTGTCTGTCTCTACCTGTCTGTCTCTACCTGTCTGTCTCTACCTGTCCGTCTCCTGACTACCTGTCTGTCTCTACCTGTCTGTCTCCTGACTACCTGTCTGTCTCTACCTGTCTGTCTCCTGACTACCAGTCTGTCTCTACCTGTCTGTCTCCTGACTACCTGTCTGTCTCTACCTGTCTGTCTCCTGACTACCTGTCTGTCTCTACCTGTCTGTCTCCTGACTACCTGTCCGTCTCTACCTGTCTGTCTCCTGACTACCTGTCTGTCTCTACCTGTCTGTCTCCTGACTACCTGTCTGTCTCTACCTGTCTGTCTCCTGACTACCTGTCTGTCTCTACCTGTCTGTCTCCTGACTACCTGTCCGTCTCTACCTGTCTGTCTCCTGACTACCTGTCTGTCTCTACCTGTCCGTCTCCTGACTACCTGTCTGTCTCTACCTGTCCGTCTCCTGACTACCTGTCTGTCTCTACCTGTCTGTCTCTACCTGTCCGTCTCCTGACTACCTGTCTGTCTCTACCTGTCCGTCTCCTGACTACCTGTCTGTCTCTACCTGTCTGTCTCTACCTGTCCGTCTCCTGACTACCTGTCTGTCTCTACCTGTCCGTCTCCTGACTACCTGTCCGTCTCTACCTGTCCGTCTCCTGACTACCTGTCTGTCTCTACCTGTCTGTCTCTACCTGTCTGTCTCTACCTGTCCGTCTCCTGACTACCAGTCTGTCTCTACCTGTCTGTCTCCTGACTACCTGTCTGTCTCCTGACTACCAGTCTGTCTCTACCTGTCTGTCTCCTGACTACCTGTCTGTCTCTACCTGTCTGTCTCCTGACTACCTGTCTGTCTCTACCTGTCTGTCTCCTGACTACCTGTCTGTCTCTACCTGTCTGTCTCCTGACTACCTGTCCGTCTCTACCTGTCTGTCTCCTGACTACCTGTCTGTCTCTACCTGTCTGTCTCTACCTGTCTGTCTCTACCTGTCTGTCTCCTGACTACCTGTCTGTCTCTACCTGTCTGTCTCCTGACTACCTGTCTGTCTCTACCTGTCTGTCTCCTGACTACCTGTCTGTCTCTACCTGTCTGTCTCCTGACTACCTGTCTGTCTCTACCTGTCTGTCTCTACCTGTCTGTCTCCTGACTACCTGTCTGTCTCTACCTGTCTGTCTCTACCTGTCTGTCTCCTGACTACCTGTCTGTCTCTACCTGTCTGTCTCCTGACTACCTGTATGTCTCTACCTGTCTGTCTCCTGACTACCTGTCTGTCTCCTGACTACCTGTCTGTCTCTACCTGTCTGTCTCTACCTGTCTGTCTCCTGACTACCAGTCTGTCTCTACCTGTCTGTCTCCTGACTACCTGTCTGTCTCTACCTGTCTGTGTCTCTACCTGTCTGTCTCTACCTGTCTGTGTCTCTAACTGTCTGTCTCTACCTGTCTGTGTCTCTAACTGTCTGTCTCTACCTGTCTGTCTCCTGACTACCTTTCCGTCTCTACCTGTCTGTCTGTCTCTACCTGTCCGTCTCCTGACTACCTGTCTGTCTCTACCTGTCTGTCTCCTGACTACCTGTCCGTCTCTACCTGTCTGTCTCCTGACTACCTGTCTGTCTCTACCTGTCTGTCTCTACCTGTCTGTCTCCTGACTACCTGTCTGTCTCTACCTGTCTGTCTCTACCTGTCTGTCTCCTGACTACCTGTCTGTCTCCTGACTACCTGTCTGTCTCTACCTGTCTGTCTCCTGACTACCTGTTGTACCTGTCTGTCTCTACCCTGTCTGTCTCTACCTGTCTGTCTCCTGACTACCTGTCTGTCTCTACTGTCTGTCTCCTGGACTACCTGTCTGTCTCTACCTGTTCCTGTCTCCTGACTAACCTGTCTGTCTCTACCTGGTCCTGTACTCCTGACTACCTGTCTGGTCTCTACCATGTCTGTCTCCTGACTACCTGTCCGTCTCTACCTGTCCTGTCTCTACCTGTCTGTCTCCTGACTACCTGTCTGTATCTACCTGTCTGTCTCTACCTGTCCCTGTCTCCTGACTACCTGTCTGTCTCCTGACTACCTGTCTGTCTTACCTGTCTGTCTCCTGACTACCTGTCTGTCTCTACCTGTCCTGTCTCCTGACTACCTGTTCTGTCTCTACCTGTCTGTCTCCTGACTACCCTGTCTGTCTCTACCTGTCTTTCTCCTGACTACCTGTCTGTCTCTACCTGTCTTTCTCCTGACTACCTGTCTGTCTCTACCTGTCCGTCTCCTGACTACCTGTCCGTCTCTACCTGTCTGTCTCCTGACTACCAGTCTGTCTCCCGGCTACCTGTCTGTCTCTACCTGTCTGTCTCTACCTGTCTGTCTCTACCTGTCTGTCTCTACCTGTCTGTCTCTACCTGTCTGTCTCCTGACTACCTGTCTGTCTCTACCTGTCTGTCTCCTGACTACCTGTCCGTCTCTACCTGTCTGTCTCTACCTGTCTGTCTCCCGGCTACCTGTCTGTCTCTACCTGTCTGTCTCCTGACTACCTGTCTGTCTCTACCTGTCTGTCTCCTGACTACCTGTCCGTCTCCTGACTACCTGTCTGTCTCTATCTGTCTGTCTCCTGACTACCTGTCTGTCTCTACCTGTCTGTCTCCTGACTACCTGTCTGTCTCTACCTGTCTGTCTCCTGACTACCTGTCTGTCTCTACCTGTCTGTCTCTACCTGTCTGTCTCCTGACTACCTGTCTGTCTCTACCTGTCTGTCTCCTGACTACCTGTCTGTCTCTACCTGTCTGTCTCCTGACTACCTGTCCGTCTCTACCTGTCTGTCTCTACCTGTCTGTCTCCTGACTACCTGTCTGTCTCTACCTGTCTGTCTCTACCTGTCTGTCTCCTGACTACCTGTCTGTCTCCTGACTACCTGTCTGTCTCTACCTGTCCGTCTCTACCTGTCTGTCTCTACCTGTCTGTCTCCTGACTACCTGTCTGTCTCTACCTGTCCGTCTCCTGACTACCTGTCCGTCTCCTGACTACCTGTCTGTCTCTACCTGTCTGCCTCCTGACTACCTGTCTGTCTCTACCTGTCTGTCTCCTGACTACCTGTGTGTCTCCTGACTACCTGTCTGTCTCCACCTGTCTGTCTCTTCCTGTCTGTCTCCTGACTACCTGTCTGTCTCTTCCTGTCTGCCTCCTGACTACCTGTCTGTCTCTACCTGTCTGTCTCCTGACTACCTGTGTGTCTCCTGACTACCTGTCTGTCTCTTCCTGTCTGTCTCCACCTGTCTGTCTCTTCCTGTCTGTCTCCTGACTACCTGTGTGTCTCCTGACTACCTGTGTGTCTCCACCTGTCTGTCTCCACCTGTCTGTCTCTTCCTGTCTGTCTCCTGACTACCTGTCTGTCTCTACCTGTCTGTCTCCACCTGTTTGTCTCTTCCTGTCTGTCTCCTGACTACCTGTCTGTCTCTACCTGTCTGTCTCCACCTGTCTGTCTCTTCCTGTCTGTCTCCTGACTACCTGTCTGTCTCTACCTGTCTGTCTCCACCTGTCTGTCTCTTCCTGTCTGTCTCCTGACTACCTGTCTGTCTCTACCTGTCTGTCTCTTCCTGTCTGCCTCCTGACTACCTGTCTGTCTCTACCTGTCTGTCTCCTGACTACCTGTGTGTCTCCTGACTACCTGTTTGTCGCTACCTGTCTGTCTCTACCTGTCTGCCTCTACCTGTCTGTCTCCTGACTACCTGTCTGTCTCTACCTGTCTGTCTCCTGACTACCTGTCTGTCTCTACCTGTCTGTCTCCTGACTACCTGTCTGTCTCCCGGCTACCTGTCTGTCTCTACCTGTCTGTCTCCTGACTACCTGTCTGTCTCTACCTGTCTGTCTCCTGACTACCTGTCTGTCTCTACCTGTCTGTCTCCTGACTACCTGTCTGTCTCCCGGCTACCTGTCTGTCTCTACCTGTCTGTCTCCTGACTACCTGTCTGTCTCCCGGCTACCTGTCTGTCTCTACCTGTCTGTCTCCTGACTACCAGTCTGTCTCCCGGCTACCTGTCTGTCTCTACCTGTCTGTCTCCTGACTACCTGTCTGTCTCTACCTGTCTGTCTCCTGACTACCTGTCTGTCTCCTGACTACCTGTCCGTCTCCTGACTACCTGTCTGTCTCTACCTGTCTGTCTCCTGACTACCTGTCTGTCTCTACCTGTCTGTCTCTACCTGTCTGTCTCCTGACTACCTGTGTGTCTCCTGACTACCTGTCTGTCGCTACCTGTCTGTCGCTACCTGTCTGTCTCTACCTGTCTGCCTCTACCTGTCTGTCTCTTCCTGTCTGCCTCCTGACTACCTGTCTGTCTCCTGTCTCAGGTGTGAGAAGTGTGGAGAAGGTTTCTCTGGAACATGGGCCCTGAAGAGCCACATGCTGGTCCACGGTGTGGAGAAGCCCTTCATGTGTGACCTGTGTGGAAAGACCTTCTTCTATAACTGTCAGCTGCAGAAGCATCAGCAGCTGGTCCACGGGGAGAAGGAGCGTCGGGGGGGGTGGCGCGGCGGGGAGGCGGAGAGAAACCGTAGAGAAACCGTTCGGCTGTAAAGTCTGTCTGAAGAGCTTCAGCAGCTCCGCCACGCTCAGGACGCATGAGAAGAGCCACGCCGAGAACAAGGAGTTCAGCTGCGACTCCTGCGGGAAGACCTTCCACCTGAGACACCTGTACCTGTACCACCTGAGGACGCACAGCGGCGAGCGGCCGCATGTCTGCGCCGTCTGCAGCAAAGGCTTCCTGTTGCAGTCGCAGCTGAAGCAGCACGAGCTGCTGCACACCGGAGAGAAGCCGCACCGCTGCCAGACCTGCGGGAAGGAGTTCAGGACGCCGCAGAACTACCACCGCCACCTGCTGGTCCACAGCGGAGAGAAACCCTACGACTGCTCCGTCTGCAGCAGGAAGTTCAGGCAGTCCAACCAGCTGAAGTCTCACATGCAGATCCACACCGGCGTCAAGCTGTACTCCTGCCAGCGCTGCAACCACGGCTTCTCCGACTCCAGACAGCTGAAGAAGCACCGCTGCGGAGACGAGCTGCAGCTGAAGAAGCACCGCTGAGGAGACGAGCTGCAGCTGAAGAAGCACCGCTGCGGAGACGAGCTGCAGCTGAAGAAGCACCGCTGAGGAGACGAGCTGCAGCTGAAGAAGCACTGCTGCGGAGACGAGCTGCAGCTGAAGAAGCACCGCTGAGGAGACGAGCTGCAGCTGAAGAAGCACCGCTGAGGAGACGAGCTGCAGCTGAAGAAGCACCGCTGAGGACACGAGGACACGAGCTGCAGCTGAAGAAGCACCGACGAGGAGACGAGCTGCAGCCGAAGAAGCACAGCTAAAGAGACGAGGAGACGAGCTGCAGCCGAAGAAGCACAGCTAAAGAGACGAGGAGACGAGCTGCAGCTGAAGAAGCACCGCTGAGGACACGAGGACACGAGCTGCAGCTGAAGAAGCACCGACGAGGAGACGAGCTGCAGCCGAGCTGCAGCCGAAGAAGCACCGCTGAGGAGACGAGCTGCAGCCGAAGAAGCACAGCTAAAGAGACGAGGAGACGAGCTGCAGCCGAAGAAGCACCGCTGAGGAAACGAGCTGCAGCCGAAGAAGCACCGCTGAGGAGACGAGTTGCAGCCGAAGAGGCACTGCTGAGGAGACGAGCTGCAGCCGAAGATGCACCGCTGAGGAGACGAGGAGACGAGCTGCAGCCGAAGAAGCACTGCAGAGGAGAAGAGCTGCAGCCGAAGAAGCACCGCTGAGGAGACGAGGAGACGAGCTGCAGCCGAAGAAGCACCGCTGAGGAGACGAGCTTAGCATAAGAGCGAGGGCTTCAGCAGCTAGCCTAGTTTAGCATCTCTGTGTGTACACCTTTATTTTTGATATGAAAACAGACTTTATGATGAAAACCAGAAGAGACTTAGTTTGTAGTTTTTTATGATAATTATTCTGAAGTAAATAAAATCTGAAACCAGTTCCTGTCTCTCTCTCTCTTATCATCATTATCATCATCATCATCATCTCGTCTTTATATGAACCAGAGATGGATCCTGGACTCGGACTCGAGTCGGACTCGAGTGCCGATTTTCGGGACTCATGACTTGACTCGGACTCGCGCACTGATTGACGCGACTCGGACTCGGACTCGTGAATTCTCACGCACGATGACTTGGACTCGGACTCGAACACAGGTAATGATGACTCGTACTCGGCTCGGACACTCCTTGGATGACTCGGACTTGGACTCGGACTCGAACACAGGTAATGATGACTCGTACTCGGCTCGGACACTCCTTGGATGACTCGGACTTGGACTCGGACTCGAACACAGGTAATGATGACTCGTACTCAGACTCGGCTCGGACACTCCTTGGATGACTCGGACTTGGACTCGGACTCGAGCAAGTTTTCTCTGGAGTCTGATGTCCTCTGTGTCCTGGCGTGTGCACCTGCGAGGCGAGTTCACGTACTGGGCGCGCCCCCGCTGCTATACCAGTCTAAAGATGTCCAGAGACACACCCTGCATCGTGCTGTATGCTTTTAAAGATTTCGTTTCCATATTGGGAAAGAGCAGCGCAAAATGCACATTATGTGGACAGAAGATAGAAGAGAAGACTGGGACAACGTCGAATTTCAATCGACACCTTTCACGGCGGCACCCAGAAAAGTAAGTAGAAATGCTATTGTTAGCTTGCTAACCCACGTTAACGTTAGCCACTAAATTGACTCCACAAAGGTTTTAAGATGTCGGGTTAGATGGAGGTAGGGGTTGATATCACATCCTAGGGACCAAGTGCAGTTTTATTGTCTAGATAGATACTGTTAAAAAGCTATACATGTCCTTGGTGATACTGCAGATGATGAGTAGCCTAGCCCTAGCCTACAATGAACGTGAAAATTAGAGAATGAAAATGATCTCCGTCACGGAGGCTCCATAACACATTACTCTAAGGATGGAGTTCATATATACATCTATAGGTAGGCTGTATTGAACACTATCATCAGAGTAATGTGATCAAATCAATAAGTAAAGATTCAGCCGATAACATGAAAGCACATGGCTACTTAACATGCAGAATGTCGTCATTGTGCATGCTAAGTAGCAATGTGCTTTCTGGGGCTTAATCTTTATTGATATAATTTAAACGTTCACTTATTGGTTGTTGGACATTGTGATATTATTAAAAGCAATGTAGAGGAGCTACAGCTACATTTCAACACATATCCACTAAGATTAATACATGAATACTTGTGACTCGGCCTTGACTTGGACTCTTCTTGGGTGACTCGGACTCGAACACAGGTAATGGTGACTCGGACACTCCTTGGGTGACTCGGACTTGGACTCGGACTCGACTACGACTCTCCCTAGGTGACTCGGACTCGAAGAGTGGGGACTCGAGAGTGACTTGGACTCGTGAATTGGTGACTTGACTACAACACTGATATGAACAGTCTGAGGGTCTGACACCGGGACAGATCCGGTGAGTCTCCGGGGAGCTCGGTACCTGATCTCCAGGGCCCAGGAGTTCAACACTTTTAATCCCTATCTGATCGCATCAGATTTTGATTTTGGGGAGTTCAAAACCAAACAACAGGATTAGGATCACTTTGATATCAGATCAGGAAATGAACTGTACATATACTGGCCTCGCCGAAATCTCCTTCTCTGTTAACCAGCGAGATAAACACTCACAAAGTAAAACTCAGGACCACAAGGTGATGTTTTCAAACTTTACTAAGCAAGCAGTGTGAAACTGAAGGAATACAGAAACAAGAGCAATTGTAAATATCAACTACATGACATAATAATTACGTATACATAGATATATATCCAAGACGGCATGAAATTAGGTCAGTGCCAAAGTACAGATGCAATGTTTAGGCTATATTGCATATACAGCAACTACAACATGTCAGCTGGGATCACATATCACAATAATGCACTCAAGGTAAAGATATATAATGTAGAAACATAAACACGTACAGGAAATGCCTTCTCAAGGGCTTTGAGTGATGGATGAACAGACTTAGCTGGAGCACACATGCTATTCTGAAATGTCTCAGGCTAACTTCCTGTCACACGGGAACTAAAAATAACTGCTTCATGCAGTACGGGAAGTCACCAGAAGGAGTCACTATAACACACAAAATAATTGGCGGAGCCAGAACACTCCCCGTCTGGTCTCTCTAAGAGACCAATACACACAACTAAACAACTTGATCTGACGAAATAATGTGACCAGTTCTGAAATAGGTCTTAAGAAGACCTTGGTTACTCCGTCTTGAACAACTTTCACCTCTGCTTTCCTTATCAGTCCGTCTTTGCTGGGAACAGCTTTCACTACAACTCCCATTGGCCACTCGTATCTTCTGGCTTGCTTCTCCTTCAGAAGAAGTGTGCAACTCGATTTTGACAGGAAAGCTACTGGAGACTTCTAGAATTGTGTGAGTAACATTGTGTTTTTAGACTTCTCTGTTTCAGTGTGTGTACTCTGTATCAATGCTCTGTAGTTGATCTGACTGGAATTGTGATTTTAAAACTCAAAACCGCTACAGTATCTGTCAGGCAGAAACTTGGGACAAGTCATTTGACTGAAACCTTAAAAGTGAACTAACTGACTGCTAGGGTTAACTTTGATTTAAACATTTGTAGAATACTAAGAGCTTTATTGAGTAGGTGTAACTGTATTAAGGGTTAAACTCATAACTTTATAACTTAGGGTTTAATGTAATTGACTTAAAAGACAATAAGAAATCAGGAGGGAGCCAGTCTAGATTTCCTTTTGAGGGCCACCAGCTGCAGAGAGTTAACTAATTAAAGGGACGTTGCCCCACACCTGTGAGAACTCAGCAATCAGGTGTCCATTTTAGGTAGCACTTTCCTGGAGCGTCAGCGTCAGACAGGCTAAGACTGGCAAAAACATTGGAGTCCTGCGGGAGTAAGACTGGCAAAGACATTATAGTCCTGCGGGAGTCACGAGGGAGGCAAAGAGGAGGCAAATCCTACTTTGATTGAGCTAAGTATCGCTGGTGTTTTATTTTATTTGGTTGTTTAGCCCCTCATGCTGTAATCATGTGTATTTTCTCCATTCCTGTTCATGTGTCTTCTCGCAATTATCACTGGCCCCGTGTATCTCCTAATCGATATAACCGGCCTGCTCTCATCTATCCCACATGCTCCACTGAGATCCAACATCTAGTTTCAGGTGGCCTGTGGAACTGCCAGTCAGCTGTTCCTAAGGCTGACTTCATCTCTGGCTACGCTTCCCTGCAGTCTCTGAATTTCCTTGCTCTCACTGAGACCTGGATTACTCCATCCAACACATCCACCCCAGCAGCTCTCTCCACAGCATATTCCTTCTCCCATACACCCAGACCCACTGGCAGAGGAGGTGGCACTGGTCTCCTGCTCTCTCCCAAATGGAGCTTTTCCCTCTGCAAGCTAACTAACTTCACTCCTTCCACCTTTGAATTCCATGCCGTCACAGTAACCCATCCTATACAGTTAACCATTGTTGTTCTCTACCGTCCACCAGGCGCCTTGGGGGACTTCTTGGAGGAATTAGATCATCTCCTCTCACACATCCCTGAAACTGGCCCTCCCGCTGTACTTCTCAGAGACTTCAACCTCCAGATGGGGAAGATAGACGAACTAACATCTCTGTTAACCGCCTTTGCTTTCTCACTGTCTCCGTCCCCACCGACTCATAAAGCTGGCAATGTCCTTGATCTCATATTCTCAAGGAACTGCGCTACTTCTAACCTCTCTGTAAACCCGCTCCACACATCCGATCACTTCTTCATTTCATTCTCTCTACCCCTTTCCAAACATAACAAACTAATCTCTCAGTGGATGTCTGCTCATCACCTCAAGCTCAACCTTGACAAGACTGAGCTGCTCTTCCTTCCGGGAAAAGATTGTCCCACTCTTGACCTAACAATCAACATCGGCACCTCAGTTGTTTCCCCGACTCAGACTGCAAGGAATCTGGGTGTGACCCTAGATAACAACCTGTCCTTCACTGCAAACATCGCTGCTACAACCCGTTGCTGCAGATACACGCTTTACAACATCAGGAGGATGCGTCCCCAGCTGACACAGAAAGCGACTCAGGTTCTGGTCCAGGCTCTCGTCATCTCACGCCTAGACTACTGCAACTCCCTCCTGGCTGGTCTACCTGCATGTGCCATCCGACCTCTGCAGCTCATTCAGAATGCAGCGGCTCGTCTGGTCTTCAACCTTCCTAAATGTCTCCCACACCACTCCGCTCCTCCGCTCCCTCCACTGGCTTCCGGTAACTGCTAGAATCCACTTCAAGACACTGGTACTTGCTTACCATGCTGCGAATGGATCTGGCCCTTCCTACATCCAGGACATGGTTAAACCGTACACCCCAGCGCGTGCACTACGCTCTGCATCAGCCAAACGACTCGCTGCACCCTCGCTGCGAAGGAGACCCAAGTTCCGATCAGCAGAAACACGTGGGTTTGCTGTCCTGGCTCCAAAATGGTGGAATGAGCTCCCCATTGACATCAGGACGGCAGATAGCTTGCACATCTTCCGGCGCAAACTGAAAACTCATCTCTTTCGACTCCACTTAGAGCGATAGAACTATTAACAAAGCACTTATATACTAATAAAGGACTGGCTTATCTAAAGCCAGTTGAGTAGCACTTGAAATGTTTGGCTCTATGAAACCTGATGTACTTATATGATTCTGTTTTCTTCAAGGTTGTGTCTTCCTGGTCGAATGTACTTATTGTAAGTCGCTTTGGATAAAAGTGTCAGCTAAATGCAATGTATTGTAATGTAATGTAAAAGAACGACGTCGCCTTCTTCAATGTCTCGACTTCTGGGCTGCCATTTCTGACGGGTTTGTAGGGTGCTGAGGAATTCTTTCCGCCACCTACTCCAGAATTCGTCTGCCAGACTCTGAACACGCTTCCATTGGAATTTGAAGATCTCGCCTTTACTGAAGTCGTCGTGAGGGAGCATGAATGTTGCCGTTTTCTGGGTAAGAAGCATGGACGGTGTCAGGATGTGGGGACATTCAGGGTCGGATGAAACTGGTATCAGTGGACGTGCATTGATGATGGCTGTGACCTCGGCCATTAATGTGGTTAGGACTTCGTGAGTAAGTCGTGCACACCCTGATTGTAGAAGCATTGCATCGAGTATGCGCCGTGCCACGCCGATCATGCGCTCCCACACGCCACCCATGTGTGAGGAATGCGGTGGATTGAAAATCCATGTGCACCTCTGGTCTTGTAGGTAGTCCAGTACTTTGCTTTGTCCGGGGGCATCCAGCATGAGCTCTCTACATGCTCCAACAAAGTTGGTGCCACGGTCAGAGCGCAGTTGCTTGGCAGGGCCTCTTATTGCAAAGAACCTTCTGAGTGCGTTTATGAAACTTGAGGAGCTCATCTCCTCTATGACCTCTATGTGGACTGCCCTAGTTCACATGCATGTGAACAGCACTGCCCACCTTTTGCTGTTTGCTTGTCCGCCTCTTGTGCGGTAGTCACTTCCCATGGGCCGAACACGTCCAAGCCGACACAGTGACAGGTACCATGAGTATCAAACAGCATGTCACAGGTGATTAGGTGGACAGGTGATCAGGTGGACAGGTGATCAGGTGGACAGGTGATCAGGTGGACAGGTGATTAGGTGGACAGGTGATCAGGTGGACAGGTGGACAGGTGATTAGGTGGACAGGTGATCAGGTGGACAGGTGAGCAGGTGGACAGGTTATCAGGTGATTAGGTGGACAGGTGATCAGGTGGACAGGTGGACAGGTGATCAGGTGGACAGGTGATCAGGTGGACAGGTGATCAGGTGATTAGTTGGACAGGTGGACAGGTGATCAGGTGATTAGGTGGACAGGTGATTAGGTGGACAGGTGATTAGGTGGACAAGTGATTAGGTGATCAGATGGACAGGTGATCAGGTGGACAGGTGATTAGGTGATCAGGTGGACAAGTGATTAGGTGATCAGGTGGACAGGTGATCAGGTGATTAGGTGGACAGGTGATCAGGTGGACAAGTGATTAGGTGATTAGGTGGACAGGTGATCAGGTGGACAGGTGATTAGGTGGACAGGTGATCAGGTGATTAGGTGGACAGGTGATCAGGTGGACAGGTGATCAGGTGATCAGGTGGACAGGTGATTATGTGGACAGGTGATCAGGTGGACAGGTGATCAGGTGGACAGGTGATTAGGTGGACAGGTGATCAGGTGATTAGGTGGACAGGTGATCAGGTGATTAGGTGGACAGGTAATCAGGTGGACAGGTGATTAGGTGATCAGGTGGACAGGTGATTAGGTGGACAGGTGGACAAGTGATTAGGTGATCAGGTGGACAGGTGATCAGGTGATTAGGTGGACAGGTGATCAGGTGGACAAGTGATTAGGTGGACAGGTGATCAGGTGATTAGGTGGACAGGTGATTAGGTGATCAGGTGGACAAGTGATTAGGTGATCAGGTGATTAGGTGGACAGGTGATCAGGTGGACAGGTGATCAGGTGATTAGGTGGACAGGTGATTAGGTGATCAGGTGGACAGGTGATCAGGTGATTAGGTGGACAGGTGATCAGGTGATTAGGTTGACAGGTGATTAGGTGGACAAGTGATTAGGTGATCAGGTGGACAGGTGATCAGGTGGACAGGTGATCAGGTGATTAGGTGGACAGGTGATTAGGTTGACAGGTGATTAGGTGGACAAGTGATTAGGTGATCAGGTGGACAGGTGAACAGGTGATTAGGTGATCAGGTGATCAGGTGATTAAGTGATCAGGTGATTAGGTGGACAGGTGATCAGGTGGACAGGTGATTAGGTGGACAGGTGGACAAGTGATTAGGTGATCAGGTGGACAGGTGATCAGGTGATTAGGTGGACAGGTGGACAAGTGATTAGGTGGACAGGTGATCAGGTGGACAAGTGATTAGGTGATCAGGTGATTAGGTGGACAGGTGATCAGGTGATTAGGTGGACAGGTGATTAGGTTATCAGGTGATTAGGTGGACAGGTGATTAGGTGGACAGGTGATTAGGTGGACAAGTGATTAGGTGATCAGGTGGACAGGTGATTAGGTGGACAGGTGATCAGGTGATTAGGTGGACAGGTGATTAGGTTGACAGGTGATTAGGTGGACAAGTGATTAGGTGATCAGGTGGACAGGTGATCAGGTTGACAGGTGAACAGGTGATCAGGTGATTAGGTGATCAGGTGAACAGGTGATTAGGTGGACAGGTGGACAGGTGATCAGGTGGACAGGTGAACAGGTGGTAGAAAGCATCACTAAAGGAGTTAAATTAAATCCTCTGGAGGTTTTTATTTTAATAATTAACATCTCAATCATAAGAGATATAATATAATGAGGAGAAGAAAGTAATACATATTTTTAGAGGACCTATTTAAGTCTACCCGTAGGTACGTTTGAGAAACCGGCTCGAGATACACTTTTTGTTATATTCCATGGAATGCTCTGAACATCCCGATAGCAATGAATATCTGAAGTGCTTTGACAAAAAATCCATTAAAACATTTCATCTGTGGAAGCCGTAATACTGTAAAAAGCACGACCAATTATTTTAGCCGGCCCGACTAAAATAACTGGATGGCCTACCTGCCTGTCAGCCTCCCATCGGGGCACAATCTTATCTCGTGCCCTCATTGGTCATGTGCGCGTTAGTGTGTGTTGGAGGAGGGGCTCAGGAAGTGGCAGATTTTCACCGGTTGTGTATTTTCAAATTCTAACGATCTCGAGCTGGTTTCTCAAATGTACCTACCCCACCTTTAATATAATTCACGATGTATATGAATAAGTTATATTATGATTAATATGAATACGTTTACGTTATAATATGATTAATGTCAATGAGTTATATTATGATTAATATAGTGATTAATATTAATAAGTCATATTGTGATTAATATTATACAGCTAAATTAATTAATAAATTATATTATTATTCATATTACTCGGATTATGATTACAGCTGTAATTTACGACGGTCCGTGAAGTTAGCACCGGTCATCGCACAGACTCTGCGCATGCGCATTCAGTCAGCAACAGATTCAAGCGGGGGAGTTTATTCGGTTTACCGTAAAGTATTAGAAATAAACCGTTAAATAGGACCGTTTTTAGGGTCTTTATATGAACAGTCTGATGGTCTGACACGGGACAGGTCCGGTGAGTCTCCGGGGAGCTCGGTTAGTCCTGAGAGAGTGTTAACTGTTGTCACAGTAAGTTAGCTGCTAGCTGCTAACACAAACACTGCGGTCAGGGGCTCACTGTTACCTGTGTCTTTATACCTTCAGCTCCACCTGCGACAAGCAGAGCTCAGGTGAGTGGGATGTCACAGAGTCATTCCTTACTCTTTATGTCTCTGTTCACCTGTTGTTGCGTCCCAAACATAGCTAACCAGGTGCTAACCAGGTGCTAACTAGCTCCTAACATTAGCTCCACTGGTTTTATCACCAGATAAAGTGTCGCCACATGTTGGTATTTCAATGATTAGAATACCTGTTGGCTAACGTCAGGTTTATAGACGGGGAAGGGTTAGTAGTTAGAACAGGGTTGAATAACTTCCTGTTAGCAATGAGTCTAACAAACCTCCCTGTTCCTCCTGCAGACTGAGGAAGAGGAGGAGGAAGATGTCGCTGGTGTCAGATCTGGAGGGTCTCTCTCTCTCTCTGGACGACTGTCGCTGCCCCGTCTGTCTGGAGATCTTCATGGAGCCGGTGACCCTGCCCTGCTCACACACCTTCTGCAAGGTACCCCACACACACACACACACACACACACACACACACACACACACACACACACCCCTTTGATTGATTGATTGAAAAGTGTATTAACAGCTTGTATATTGGGTACAGTACAGTACAGCTCAAAACATACAATTGTTAAGGGGATGCAGACCAGAGAAAGACTTTCGTCTTGTTTACATCAGGGTCCCCCATTTCCAATTCATCATGTCATATAAGACATATTTGACATACAGATGGCTTATTTACAATTTACATACAGGTGGTTTTTTACATACAGATTGCTTATTTACAATTTTCATTTTAGATTTCGTTCTAATACATCCTAACCGGACATTTAAGACATACCAAGTCTACAGATATACAGTTAGTAACAGAGTCTAAAATGCGAGTATATACATAGATGGGGGGGGGGGGGGGAAGCTGTCCATTGAACGACAGGTTGAGATTTGTACCATTACCGGGGCCAGTTTTGCAATGCTCTCCCCCGAAGGTGCTCTTTAAGAGAGGTTTTGAAGGTAAGTATAGTTTTACTTTCCTTTACAGTTGTGGGAAGAGCGTTCCACCTTGATGTGGCATCATTGCGAAACGTGTATTCCCCCTTTTTTGTGCCAAATCTGGGTTTCACATGATTTGTGGAGCTCCCTCTGGTGTTATGATCATGGTATTCCTTGACCTTTGGGAAGAATGTTGACATGTACATGGGTACCATAGAGGTGTAGTGGATCTTGTAGACCAGGCCCATTGCAAGTAGCTGTACTCTGTCGTCTACTCTAAGCCATCCTAGGTTGTCAAAGTGGGCAGAGGTGAGGTGGGTTCTAGATGAAAGGTCAAGCAGTAGTCTGACCAGTTTATTTTGCGATGTTTGAAGTTTTATTTTTAGCGCCTTGGAGGTGCTATGGTACCATGACGTGCAAGCATAGTCATAGTACCCTTGAATGAGTGCTCCTGCCAGAGTCTTCAGGGTGTTTTTGTTTACCAGAGAGGAGATCCGGTATAGGAATCTAGTTCTTTGATTGACTTTTTTATTACATTGGATGCCATTTTGTCACAGGAGAGGTTTGCCTCAAGAATAGATCCTAGGTATGTAATTTCCTTCTTACTTGTGACAATAATGTCGCCCACTGCAACTGAGAAGTCGTCGGATTTGCTGAGATTATGTTTCGAACCGAAGAGAATGGACTCTGTTTTACCCAGGTGTAATGATAATTTATTATCGGCGAGCCAGGTGCAGATTCTGCCGAGCTCGGAGCTGAGGGTTTTTTCAACCTGCAACCTGTTCCTGTCAGAGACCAGCAGGGCTGAGTCGTCCGCGAACAGGAACAAGTTGCAGTCACATGCTGATGACTTGTCATTTGCATAAATTAGGAACAGTAACAGACCTAATATGCTTCCTTGTGGAACACCACAGCTCACTGGGAGGGGGGGGGGGGGGGACAGAGTACCGTTTACCTCCACCATCTGTGCTCTCCCCTCCAGGTAGGATTGCATCCAGCTCACCGATAGTTTATCAAAACCAATTGCTTTTAGCTTGTCAATCAGAATGGGGTGATTGACAGTGTCGAAAGCCTTTTGTAGGTCCAGCATCACCATGCCGCAGTACTTTCCCTCGTCCACCTCTTGTTTGATGTGGTCGCTCAAATAGAGAAGGCATGTGTCAGTGGAGTGGGATGTTCTAAAGCCAGATTGAAATTCATAGATTAGTTTATTTTCCGCGAGGTACTTTTCGACCTGTTCATATACTATTTTTTCCATGACTTTCGAGATGGAGGTAAATATAGAAACAGGGCGGTAGTTGCCTGGGTCCAATTTGCTGCCCTTTTTGTGCAGGGGGGTTACTCTTGCAATTTTGAAGTCTTTGGGTACTTTCCCCTGTTTTATGGAGAGGTTAATTATGTGAGCTATGACTGGTGAGATGGCGTTTGCTGTGTCTCTGAGGAATTTGGAGGGGATATTGTCGTGGCCAGTGGCCTTGTTAGGTTGGAGGGCGCTCAGTTTAATGAGTACCTCTGCTGTTGTTACCCTTGCTAGACTGAAATCATCTTTGCGTACCCCTAGGTTTTTGTAGTAGGTCATGATGTGATCTACTCCAAAAAGCCCTGAGTGGGAGGGTAATTTATTTACAAGAGTTGTGGCTATGTTTGTGAACAAAATGTTCAAGTACTTGGCCACATCCAGTTTGTCTGTGATGAGCCGGTTATCTGTCTTTATGTTTAAGTTAGAAAATCTCGTTTTGAGTTTTTTACTGCAGCCAAGCTCGTTATTGAGTCATTTCCAAAGTTCACGGGGTTTATTTTTGTTTTCCTCAGTTTTGATATTGATGAAATTCTTTTTGGCAGTTTTGATCATGGAGCTTACGTCATTTTTAGTCTGTTTCTTTCAATTTTGAGTTCAGTCACGTGGGCCTGGAGTTCACTGCTCGTGCTTTTGGAAAGCATTGACTGACTTTTATGAAACTCAGAGCATTTTTTGTCTCTGGTTTTCATGGCGGTCAGTATGCCGGAGTGCATCCACGGCTCAGCGCGATGTGTTACCCTGGTTGTTCTTAGGGGGGCCAAATCATTGAGTATTGCAGAGAATTTGTTTTTGAAACCAAGCCATGTTTCTTCAACTTGTGTACCACTGAGCTCATCTGACCAGTCCAGGCTCTCCAGTTCTAGGTTAAAGGCCTCGCTAGAGTAGTTTTTGAGGTCTCTAGATATGACTGTTTTGTGACAGCCGGCCATTTGTTTTAGCTTTTTGCGGGTACAGAATATCATATAATGATCACTTAACCCGCATGCTATAACCCCTTTACTGGAGATCCTGGACCTGTCAGAGGTCAGAATGATATCAATGGTAGTTTGTGTTGTTTCACATACCCGGGTGGGTTGGGTGATTAGCTGGCTGAAACCGTGCAGATCACAAATCCTACTGAAGGACTTGAAGACGGACGTGTCTTTACGTTGCATATCCGTGTTCCAGTCTCCAATAATAATTGTCTCTACATCCCCCACATCAGCCAAACACCCATCTAATGTATCATAAAAGTCACTCTGTTCCGGTGGTCTATAGATTGTTTCTATTACAGATTTAGCATTGTCAAAAATAATTTCAACCCACACAGATTCAATATTTTCATGATGCAGGTCAGTTCGGTTTTTGAAATTGGTGTCTTTATGTATGTACATGCAGACACCACCTCCATTCACGTTCCTGTCCCTTCTCACTACAAGATCATCTTCAATTTCAATCTCTGAATCTGTAATGGAATTGTCCAATTTGGTCTCAGAAAAGCATAATATGCTTGCCTTACCGTTCATGAATAGCTGCCTGAGTTCAGCCAGTTTGTGTCTCAGGCTGTTAGTGTTCAGATGAAACATATGTAGTCCATTTTTGTTGCTTAAATGCACAATGTCGTCAGCTTGCAGATATTTGTCTTTGTCCGTTACAGCAACCGGCTTGCCGTGGTGTTTGGAGAGGTGGGGGGAGGTGGGGGGAGGGAGGCTCCGTTGTAGCTTTAGCCGTTGATATGCTAGCAGGGTGGCTAACAACATGGCGGATATTTGTTCCCTCGGATCTCGGTTCTCTTCCTCTCGTCACTGCCTCATGCGTGTCTGTCTGCCGAGGCGTCCCCGGGGGAATCTCGAAGTCTCCGTTTATTCCTTGGTCTCCACGGTCTCTGTTGTCGTCGCGTAGTTGTTGTTGCAGCGGAAGAGATGCTAGTTCTGATGCTAATTGTGATGCTAGCTGCTCGAGCCTGCAGGACTGGCTTCTTGTCTGCACCGGGCCCGGATTCAGATGGATGTCTCCCGCTAACAATAAGACCAAGACGATCATACTTCTTCGGTCTAGTTTGCCTGACGGGGGTAAGTACTTTCGCGTCGGGTTTGCAGTTAATAATGCATGAATGCTTGCACTTCCAAAAGCGAGGTGTTTCCTTTCCCAGCCGTTGAGAAGGTAAAAGTCATTGTGGTTCATTTTATCCCCGCTTTCATTACTCTCCTTCTCTAAGTGATGTTGTCTCATTGATGAGTTGAGGTAGGAGTCCATCATCCATATTGTCAGGAGGATGAAATATGTAAAAAATCTGCAAGGTACCACACACACACCTTCTGCAAGGTACCACACACACACACACACCTTCTGCAAGGTACCACACACACACACACACACACACACACACACACACACACCCCTTCTGCAAGGTACCACACACACACACACACACACACCCCCCTTCTGCAAGGTACCACACACCCCTTCTGCAAGGTACCACACACACACCTTCTGCAAGGTACCACACACACACCTTCTGCAAGGTACCACACACACACACACACACCCCTTCTGCAAGGTACCACACACCCCTTCTGCAAGGTAACACACACACACACACCTTCTGCAAGGTAACACACACACACACACACCTTCTGCAAGGTAACACACACACACACACACACCTTCTGCAAGGTAACACACACCTTCTGCAAGGTAACACACACACATCTTCTGCAAGGTAACACACACACACACATCTTCTGCAAGGTAACACACACACATCTTCTGCAAGGTAACACACACATACACCTTCTGCGAGGTAACACACACACACACCTTCTGCAAGGTAACACACACACACACCTTCTGCAAGGTAACACACCTTCTGCAAGGTAACACACCTTCTGCAAGGTAACACACACACACACCTTCTGCAAGGTAACACACACACACACCTTCTGCAAGGTAACACACACACACACACCTTCTGCAAGGTAACACACACACACCTTCTGCAAGGTAACACACACACACACCTTCTGCAAGGTAACACACACACGGCCTAATGTGAAGCTTCCCGCTCATGTTTCAATAGTAGTAAGAGCTGCAGCAGAGTCTCCGTCAGCAGGTCGTCACCGGACTCTAAGCGGATGTTTAAAACTCAGTTCATGGGAGTCATCTTTATATCGCTTCAGTTTATAATCGTTACAGATCGAAAGTTCAGATTCATTTTTCAATAAATG